CCCCCCCCCCCCCCATGTTGGAAAGTGGGGAGGGGGGGTCTGCGGGGCTGAGTGTCCTCCGTCAGCTCACAGGGCGCTTTCCTGGTGCCCTCCCCTGCTTCTCTCCGTGAGCAGGAGGCGCGATGAGGTGTGGCCAGGTCTCAGCCCACTGTGCCACCCCCCCACCCCCCCCCGGGAGCTGAGATGACCATGAGGCGCGATGAGGTGTGGCCAGGCCTCAGCCCCATGCATCCCCTTCCCCAACCCAGGTGGGACGGGACTGGGAGGGTGTCAGACCTCGCACGCACTGGGTACAAGGACAGGGGGACAGAGCAGCTCTGCTCCCAGCACCCCCCCTCTTCCACCCAGTTTCCGACTGGGCGTCCCTGGGGCTGGGGCTCAATTCCCCCCAAGAAGGGATTTTTCCATCAGCTGCAAGTGATGGTTTCCTGTCGCAGAGAAGGTTGCAGAAAACGCTTAATTTTAAGTTAAAGAAAAAAAAATATTGGGTCTGTGGGGCTGTTCCAGGAAAATCCCGGCCGCTAGGGAGTTAATAAATGCTCATTAATGCTGGGATAATTAAATAATTAATGCTCATTAATCCTGGGGTCTAATTGGCTGGGCCCGGCTGGGACGGCCCACCCGTGTCCCCAGTGCCACCCGCTGCAGTTCAGGCCGCGGTCACTGAGCGTCACTGCAGTCCCACAGCCCGGCTGCGCTCACACGCGTGTGCACGAACACACGTGTACATGAACACACGTGTGCACGAACACGCCCGCAGCCCTGCGCAGGCCCGCACGCGTGTGCCAGCACACAGGCGTGCGCTCACGTGTCGGCCCTTACGTGCATGCGGAGGGGCACGAACACGCGTGTGTTCACACAGGGGCACGGGTGCGTGCGCAGACATGTGTGCACACACGCAGTTGCACATGCACACAGGTTTGCACATATGTGAACGTCCACACACGCTTTCCTGTGGGGCACATAAATCTGTGTTTACCTGTATCCCTGTGAATCCACACATGCACACGTGTACACATGCATGTACACCATTTGCACACATGTACACACATGAAAATGCATGCACACACATGCACACGCATGCACACACATGCACACGCGTGCACACATGTGCACACCACACACGTGTCCCCTATTTGCACACAGGCACATGCGTGCACATGCATGGATGCAGCTCCACAATGGCACATCACTCACATATGTGTCTGCCATTTGCACATGGGCACAGTCATGCACACGCATGCACACACACGCACACACGCACACCACACACACATTCCCCCCATTCGCACACAGGCACACACATGCAGACACATGCAGACACGTTCACACCAAACACACATGTTCCTCCATTTCCACACATGCACACACATGCCCACACATGTACATCACACACATATCTCCCCCCATTTGCACATGGGCACACACATGCCTACACATGCACATGAATGCACACTCATGCACACAGCTCCATGCATGCACGCCACACACATGTGTCCTGCCACTTGCACACGTACACATGCATTCACATGCATGCACACCACACGTGTCCCCCATTTGTTCATGGGCACACACATGCACACACATGCCCACTCATACACTGAATGCACGTAGTTCCACACATGCACAGCACACACACGGGTCCCTCATTTGCACACAGGCACATGCATGAACACATATGCACACACATGCACACACATGCATACAGCCCCATACATGCGTGCCACACACACACATCTCCCCCCATTTGCACACAGGCACACGCATGCACACAGCTCCATGCATGCACTCCACACACGTGTCCCCCCATTTGCACATGGGCACACGCATGCACACACATGCCACAGCTCCACACATGTATATCACACACACGTGTCCCCCCATTTGTCCACGGGGACATGTGTCCACATACATGCACATGCATGCACACCACACACATGTGCCCCACCACTTGCACACGGGCACACACGTGTTCACACATGCACACACATGCACATGCACACACACACACATGTGTCTTCCCATTTGCACACGGGCACACACATGCACATGCATGCACACACATGCCCACAGCTCCACACTTGCATCCCACACCCATGTCCCCCATTTGCACACATGCACACATGTGCACACACGTGCACATGCACATCACACACATATTTCCCCCATTTACACATGGGCACACGCATGCACACACATGCACACACATGCCCACAGCTCCACTCATGCACCCCACACAAGTGTCCCTCCATTTGCACACAGGCACATGCATGCAGGCACATACACACGCATGCACACCACACACATGTCCCCATTTGCACATATGCACATACATGAGCACCACACACGTGTCCCCCACTTGCACACGGGCACACATGTGCTCACACACACCTGTCCCCATTTGCACACGTGCACACACACGCACACCCCCCATTTACACGCGGACACACACGTGCACACACGCTCCTTCCCCCAGCGGGGTTGGGCTGCGATTCTGGGGGCTCGGGGCCGGGAGGGG